TCTATTATAGGCCCAGAAATTAGTGTTAAATGTTAATAAAAGTGTAAAGCAAATGATCAGTTGAATGTGTATAAATGTTTTCAAATATTAAGCTATATTAACTCTGTATTCATTTCTAACATATATAATATTATATTATATACATACACATTATACACATATTATATATATATATTTATAATAAATTCTATTCTTTATGAAAATAATTAACATTAATAGTATGTATGTATTTAACAATCATATCACACATAATATAGATTTTGTTAACTAAATTAAATTTTAATTATTATCACATTTTACTAATAAATGTTGCATAATGATTCATTTATTAATCTGAATCTTATTGGAGAAATATTTGATTACATGAAATAAGTGATTACAAAGTATTATCTCAAAAGATACCTCTATTTTGATGGCTCAAAGAGATGGTGTTGTTGTAACCTCTCATATAACAACAGATAAAGGTATAGAACTTAATAATGGATTACAAAGAATTAGAGCCAAAGTTGAAAACTCCTAAAAGTTTGTCTGAAAAGTCTAAGTTTGGATTCGTTTCATTAGATCTATGGATCAAAAAGTCCTACTTTCTAAATGGATTCCAGTGTCTAATTTGGTATAAAACAAAATGAAACATAAAATGAGTGACTGTCTTAATACATAATAAAAGCGGTTATTTAAGAATAGTGCAAATGTGGACAAATTGAAAGATAACCAAATTGGACAATATATTCAAGAATTGTTTGGTTCAGTGAATGGATACACAAACTGAGGTGAGCTTTGAAGTACAGTTAGCGTAGTTATACTATCGGTGCCGACGCCCTCACAAATGGCATTTGCAATGAGTTTGATGTCCACAATAAGTGCTAATGGTTCATATTAATGTTGTCAAGGTTTAAATTGATTTTAAAGAAGTCATTTGTTAAAACTAAACACCAATGCTATATTTAAAATTCAAACCTAAACTCAACGTAACTAATTTGGATATTCAATGTTTAATAATATAATGTTAAGAATAGCTTTAATATACTGTATAAGAAAACAATAATTACACTAAAATGAATTTAATTAGTAAATAAGTCATTATAAAATGTAATTAAATTTAATAATATTATGTTATGTAATAAATATCACTAAACTACATTTGCAAATGTTTACAAAAGAAATTATTTGCACATTTTGTGTGCAAAATAATTATAAGTTATAATTTACAACGTTTAAAAATATTTAGAAAATTATTCTAAGCCTTAAAATTTAACGTAATAACATTTTATAATTAATGAATATTCTCAGATTAATGAATAGAAATCACCACCTTTAGGGTAAACACCTTGTGTTAACACCTGTGTTAGTGCTTAATTGAATTATTTCTAATTAAATAGGTATTTTTCATTAAATTTAATCTAAATTCATTTTCAAAGTACCGTAATTCTGACTTAAGAATTCATTAAATTGGTGTTTATAATCAAGTTTAAGAATGAAATTCTGCTTCAATTTAAGGGTTATTTTGTTTGCACTAATAAACTGTCAAATAATACTGACCGCTAATGTTAACTACTTTCGTCGCTCACAATACCCGCGGTCACCGAAAACGGCAAAAGTTTTTAATATAAGCGACGCCGACATCTAGTAAGTTATACATTACTCAGAAACCCATTATAAATCTAATTGAAATGCTTTTCGGTTAAACAATATATAATGTTACTTGCTTAAAAACATATATTTAGTATAGAGATGGAGGACTTTGCTTTGTCCCGACCGGACGCCATAGAAGTGATGTTCGGTTATCCCAACTATAGTCCACCGAAACATATGTTGGAAGCCTTCAAAAGTGTCACATCAAACGACTTGGCCTTTGAAATACATCAATACGCAGACTTCAGGGGTCATCATAGGCTGAGGGCAGCGGTGGCCGAGTTTAACGGCATTTTAATGAACCGCAAAATAGATGCTAATAAAGAAGTGCTGATAACTGTGGGCGCCATACAAGCTCTGACTGCCATCGCACACACATATATAAACCCCGGCGACGAAGTGATAGTTTTTGAACCATTTTATATATACTACAGACATATAATAGAGCTCAGGGGTGGAGTTCCCGTGTATGTGCCGCTTAGACCACGCGATGGACAAACTGCTCGCCAGTCCAATGAATTGACATTTGATAGAAAGGAATTGGAGTCTAAGTTCACTAATAAAACCAAGATGATCTGGGTTAACAATCCTAATAATCCATCCGGGAAAGTATGACTTATAATATTTTAAAAATTTATATAAATTTTTACGTATATAACTAAATGTGAGCTCACTTTATATGCAATTATTTTTAAAAATCTTTTAGACGTATCTCGAAGAAGAATTGGTATTTATTGGGGAGTTGTGTACCAAACATGATGTGATAATCATATCTGATGAGGTATAGCACAGTTTTATCAGTTTGAGTACAAACAGCACCTCCGAATGGGTGACTATTAGTTATTTGAATGTTTATTATTACAAATATTGATTTACAAAATTGTAATCCTTATTAAACCTGTGAATTGACAGCAACTCTGCCGGGACTCTGGAATCGGACACTGACTGTAAACAGTGGCGGAAAACTGTTTAGTAATACCGGTTGGAGAATAGGATGGGTTTTGGGACCCGAAGAGCT